TTCAATTTGTATCGGATATGCAGTGTTTTAACTATTTACATAAATGATACTTGTTGATATTTTGACTCACTTTTAACCAATATTTAACACACCTTTGATCTTTCTTCCATTTTATCATGCAACCACTTGTACCACCTTTCCCACACCATATAGTATACAAACAGTTCTACTTTGGTTTCATTTGACCATATGACATTCTCCCAATCCTCTTCTGGATCATCCAAATGCTCTCTAGCAAACTTCAGACGGGCCCGGACATGTACTGGCTTAAGCAGGGGGACACGACTGGCACTGCAGGATCTGAGTCCCTGGCGGCGTAGTGTGTTACTGATGGTAGCCTTTGTTACGCTGGTCCCAGCTCTGTGAAAGTCATTCACTAGGTCCTCCCGTGTGGTTCTGGGATTTTTGCTCACCGTTCTTGTGATCATTTTGATCCCACGGGGTGAGATCTTGCATGGAGCCCCAGATTGAGGGAGATTATCAGTGGTCTTGTATGTCTTCCATTTTCTAATTATTGCTCCTACAGTTGATTTCTTCACACCAAGCTGCTTGCCTATTGCAGATTCAGTCTTCCCAGCCTGGTGCAGGTCTATAATTTTGTTTCTGGTATCCTTCGACAGCTCTTTGGTCTTCACCATAGTGGAGTTTGGAGTGTGACTGTTTGAGGTTGTGGACAGGTATCTTTTATACTGATAACAAGTTCGAACAGGTGCCATTAATACAGGTGATGAGTGGAGGACAGAGGAGCCTCTTAAAGAAGTTGTTACAGGTGTGTGAGAGCCAGAAATCTTGCTTGTTTGTAGGTGACCAAATACTTATTTTCCACCATAATTTGCAAATACAATCTTTCCAAATCAGACAATGTGATTGTCTGGATTTGTTTTCTCATTTTGTCTCTCATAGTTGAGGTCTACCTCTGACGTCAAGTACAAGCCTCTCTCATCTTTTTAAGTGGGAGAACTTGCACAATTGGTGGCTGACTAAATACTTTTTTGCTCCATTGTATTTTATACTGCGTTGATTGATGCTCGTTCTCTTTCCGCTTTGCAATCCTTCTTCACTCTTGCATCATCTATCTTCCTGTATCTGACAGTTTATTTTCAAAGTCTCTGTTCTTAATTGTTTTAGATGTCCCAATATCCAAAAGTCAAAGTATCCACAAATTTGTAATCCACTCCAATTCGTTAGTTTACAAAGCTGTTATCTGTGGGTCTCTGTGTATTAACACCCACTCTTCAGTCTCCGTTACAAATTAATCCTCCGTTTCCTCTCTCCAATATTTTTCTTTCTCAGTCAATTAGGATTTGTTTAAGATTTTAGAATTTAGATCTCTCTCAAGTCCAGCTTCTGGCTACAAGTAACAAATATTATTAAAATAGTTGCAATAGTCCTAAGTACTGTAGTTTCCGTTGCCGCTTAATTTCGTCGTCCTCGCCCCTTCTTGGCTCTCTGCGATCTCTGTGATCTCCTATTTTTCCAGTTTCTCTCTCATTGCTCACCGCTCTGGACCCAGTCGCTTCTTCTACGCAATCTGTGTATTTTATATTTCTTGGTTCTTTTACCAGTACGCCTTCTGAAGCCTCTCCATTTCCACCGTTCTCCTGTTTCTGCGCTGTCACTGTCAATCCAAATTGATTTCCGCTCCTCTCGCTGTTTCTTCGCCGCTTGCCTAGCTGTCATTTCGCCGCTAGTTTGGAGTCTCACTTTCTCCGCTCACTTTTCACTTTTCCCACACTATAGCTGTACCTTTTCAAATCTTTTGTTCTCTCATTCGATCCTTTACCAATGTGTTCTCTTACTTCAATTTTCACTTCCCACTCTTCGGTTTATCAGCATTTCAGGCCAGCCAAAATGGCTGGTTTTTTCCTGATTGGAATTAAGAGGTTCTCTTGAACCTTCGGAGAGATTGCTTTGCTCTCCGAGGTCCTTGAAGATTCCTCTTTTTTCTATTGATCTCTTCAAGATAAATAGTGCCTAAATCGGCTTCCTAATCAAGAATATTGGAACTTCAAGAACGGAGCCCCCTTCTTTTCGTTCCAGACACGTTGACGTCACTGCCAGAAATCCTCCCCCCCCCCATGTCTCTCTGTGTGCATCTCTCTCTCACTCTTCTCTGTCTCTGCGTTTCTTCTCTCTCGCTCATAAAGCCATAGCTGGGCCAAGCCAGCAAGCTTTCCTTGGGGCACTTCGCTACTCCTTTTATTTCTTCTTTTTGGAAATCTGGGCTGGTAAGGAACTATCATCAGCCGCGGCGGAGGCTTCCCTTTCGGCAACTGTCCTTCCCCCCTCCTTCTCCTCTCGCGGCCCCCTGGCCAGCTGTGGGTGCACAAATGCAGGGAGACCCTCCTTAAACAAGTGCCAAAGCACAGCAAAGGCGTGTGCAGGGCAGCTGGCCACTCAAGGAGGGTCTTAACGGGATGCAACAGATGTGGCTTCTCTCCTGCACTAAGGCTCTGGCCATCGCCTTGCCATGTCATCCCCTTGGCAACTCTTCGGCCGAGCGCAGAGGGTACAAGTTCCAGCCCAAAGTGGCAGGAAGCGAAGGCTGCCTTATGCGCAAATGTGGCACGAAGGAAGGTACAGGGCCACTTCACTCCTGCACTAAGGCTCTGGCAACCCTCCTCCTCCTCTCGTGACCCCATGGCCGGCCATGGCAGGGCCGGGAGGGTACACACGTAAGGGGAGACCCTCTTTAAGTAAGCAGCCGGCTGCCCCCCGCTTGCTGGCTTGGCTCAGCCGCAGCTTTCCGAGAGAGAGAGAGAGAGACACTCACACACACAGATACAGAGAGAGGGGGAGAGAGAGGGGGAGAGAGATACAAAGGGGGAGAGAGACACAGAGAGAGGGGGGAGGGGGAGACAGGGGAAGATAGGGAGGGGGACACAGAGAGAGGCACAGCGATACAGAGAGATGCAGAAAGAGATGGGGAGAGAGGGGAGAGTGGGAGAGAGAGGGAGAGGGGCAGAGATACGGGGGGGAGAAACATAGAGAGAAAGAACAGTTTTGTGGCTGGGTAGGCATGGGTAGGGGTCATGTGACTGGGTGGGAGTGAGTGACATCGAGTTCGCCACACCCACCCAGATTTTGTAGTGGTTTTTTTTTTCCTGTGGGAAATGGGTCCAAATGGCTCTTTGAGTGTTTAAGATTGCAAACCCCTGCTCTAGCTCAAGGGTCAGGGTAGGCTCCCCAGGAGAAGACTTGCTTGATGCCTGGGACAAAAAGAGGCACTTGCCTGTCGAGCTGGGCATGACAAAGAAAAAAAAAAAGGTTGTGTAAGAAGTGGGCTTTGCTCAGGGATGAAGCTGGAAAACCAATCTGGCTAAATAAAGATACTTAAAAGAAAAGGGAAATATATAAATAGAAATGTTGGGGTTTTTATTTTTTGTTTGTTTCTCTCTTCCTCTCTGTCTTCCATGCAACCATGTGGTATGTTTGTTAAGATTTGTGCCTTCCCCAATTTAACTGAGATTTATGGTGGGAATGACCAGTGTGCATAAACCTGAGAGTTCTGTTTTCCTCTCTTTTTCTCCTTGTTTTTGTGTATGTGTGTATGTCAAAGTCTCTATGTGCCCTTGAAGTAATTGTAATAGAAAAATATCTCCAATCCAAAAGTCAAAAATTTTAAATTGCTACAAAAAATATTAAAAGCACTGAAAGAAAATGCCTTCACCCAGTTTAGTCTGGCCAGCTAAACAGGGTGAAGAACACCAAGTTCAATTTTCTTTCCTCTCTGTACTTTTAAGAAAAGCCCAAGTTTAAGAGGGAATGTTTTAAGTTCACTTACAGGAAAAAAAATTCATTCTTACATTTACTGTGTGTTTAACCAACCCTTGGAAATGGACAGCCTGTAGTTATTTAAAGGAAAACTATGGCTGTGAAGAATTTTGGTACTTATGCTTGCTTGAAACCTGACTGGAAACTCACAGAAAGTGATATCTAACATTTGAAAATAATAGGCATAGAAAATTGGATACTGTAAATTTCTTTCCAGAACTTTTGCCCTGGCTGCTAGACCTTCATGGTTGAAAGCTCTCCTTTTGGGAGCCATTAAAGGAATCCTTTTCTGTTGCCTCTATCAATGCCTTCCCCTTTGCACCAGAAAAATTAAAAGCACCCATCAAGTCTCCCTGATCAGCTCCAGGGTGATGGGATTAAGACCCCTCAGGATATGATACGATTAGCTTCATTACCTCATCACCCAGCAAGGTTCAACCAAGCCTGGGATTCAAGGCAACCTAAAAATGTTACCCCTGCATGGCCCCATGGGAGTCTGACAACCAATCAGAATACATTTCTTACACAGGAACAGGAAACTCCAAGGCAGGGCCCAAGAGAGGGGATAAATCTCTTGCTCTCTTTCAGCCACGTGCTCAATTGCATAGGACCTCAAACCATGTGGTTCTGTCCACCATTAAACCATCTTTCCAAACAGCTTCTATGTTTCCGGTGTCTTTCTCCCCACTTGAAGCTGAAATCAGATGGATATTTCTTCCAATACTTACAACTATAATTGAATCTGCAATTATGATTTTAATGATTAAACAGGTCATCATTTGACTACACCCAATTTTATGAGTTTTTTTTGTAGTGATTATTAAGCGAATGTGGCACCTATAAAGCAAATGCATGTTAGTTAAGCAAACACCTCAGTCATTAAGTCAACCCATTCTTCATTATGGGGATTTTTTGTAGTTTTCAACAAAAACAAACACTGCAATAAACTGCAGTGACAAGACCATAACATGCTGCAAATCAATGTAAATGTGGGATGATTGTCAAGTGCCCAAAATATGGTCACATGACCACAGGGATACAGGTGAGCAGTGACTGCCATAATTTTGAATATGGGAGGCCTGAACCAGATTAAAGTGCAAATGATTTATATTTAAGAAAATAAGACAAAGTATAGGTATTACATTTTAAAACTAAATAATAATAATAATTTAGTCAATAACAACCAAAGTTTTGATCTCCTGATTTAAGAGGAAATTCTGCACAAGTTTACTGTCTCAGCTTATAATAGCAAAGATTGCCTGGTACTCTTGTGGAGCAATTTGAGTAGAAGCACCATTATCTTTTGCAATATTTCTAAGCATAAGTGTTAGAGATCTTAATCATTTCCAAATGTGGCAATTTTAGGAGACTCAATGAAATCAATTTTATCACCATTTCTGCTCAAAAGAGTTTTCAAAAATCAATTGGAAGTCAATTGTTTCTTTAAAAAATTAGCATCTTTTACTAGCTGAAATAAAAAATATTATATTGGCATAACACAATTTCAGAACTATCATAGCACTTTAAGAATATCTCAGGCCCTGGGCCTTCGGCTGATGCTATGCAATGCCAGGTCCGTGGTAAATAAAGCCCCCCTCATTTGTGATCTTGTTCAGGAGGGGGGAGCGGACCTGGTGGGTATTACGGAGACCTGGTTGGGCCAGGAGGGGGGAGTCCCTCTGGTAGAGATGTGCCCACCCGGTTTCCGGGCATTTCATCAGCCAAGGTCACAGGGAAGGGGCGGGGGGGGTGGCAGTTATCATTAAAGAGGGTCTTAGTCCGAGGGAGGCCACTGTTCCTCAGACGGCCGGATGTGAGTCCCTCCTTGTGAAGTGGGGTCATGGGGTGCAGATGGGCCTGCTGGTTACGTACCTGGCTCCCTGCCACGTGGCAGCGGCCTTGCCTGAGCTACTCAACGTTATAGCCGCGGTGGCGATTGATACCCCTAGACTTATGGTCATGGGGGACTTCAACCTGCCATCCGTCGGTGAGGCGTCTGAGGTGGCTCAGGACTTCATGGCTTCCATGACGGCCATGGACCTGACCCAATTAGTTCATGGCCCTACTCACACGGGGGAAACACGCTGGACCTGGTTTTTGTCTCTGGTCAGTGGCTGAGTGGTCTCGAGATAGGGGATATAGCGATCGAGCCCTTGTCATAGTCAGATCACTCCCTCCTTCGCTTTGACCTTCGAACCGCCACACCCCGCCACAGGGAGGCGGAACCGATGAGGTGGTTCCGCCCCAGGCGCCTGATGGACCCGGATAGGTTCCAGACGGAGCTTGGGCCATTTCCTGAGGCTCTGGCACATGGCTCAACTGAAGACCTAGTGGCTGCCTGGGATAGGGCGGCCGCTGGAGCTTTGGACCGGGTCGTGCCTTTGCGGCCTCTGACCCGGCGTCGATCTCACCTGGCTTCCTGGTTCACCGAGGAGCTGAGGGAGATGAAACGCCGGAAAAGACGCCTGGAGAGCAGTTGGAGGGCCAGCCGTTCTGAATCTGACCGAACACTGGTAAGGTCTCATATTAAGACCTACCTGGTGGCAATAAAAGCGGCAAAGTGTAACTATTTTTCTGCTCTTATTGCGTCATCAGATAATCGCCTGGCCGCCCTGTTTAGGGTGACCCGCTCCCTGCTCCACCAGGAAGCGCAGGAGGACCCCTTGGAGGGTAGAGCCGAGGACTTTGTACAATATCTGTATGACAAAATCGCTCAGATTCGGGAAAATTTGGACTCTGCTGGGTAGGTTCGGGAGGGAGGATGGAGGCAAGTCTTGAGAATATTACCTGGGAAGAGTTTGATTCTGTGACTCCGGAAAACGTGGACAAGATACTGGGCAGACTGAGCGCGGCCACATGTTTATTGGACCCGTGTCCCTCCTGGCTGGTGCTGGCCTCTCGGGAGGTTACACGAGGTTGGCTCCAGGGGATTATAAATGCTTCCTTGAGAGAGGGTGTCTTCCCTGCCGCCTTGAAGGAGGCGGTGGTGAGGCCTCTCCTCAAGAAGCCTTTCCTGGACCCAGCAGTGTTGGCTAATTACCGTCCAGTCTCCAACCTTCACTTCGTTGCGAAGGTTGTTGAGAGTGTGGTAGCGCGACAGCTTCCTCAGTACTTGGATGAATCGGCTTATCTAGATCTGTTCCAGTCGGGCTTCAGGCCTGGATACAGCACGGAAATGGCATTGGTCGCATTGGTAGATGATCTCTGGAGGGCCCGGGACAGGGGTTGCTCCTCTATCCTGGTCCTATTAGACCTCTCAGCAGCTTTTGATACCATCGACCATAGTATCATGCTGCACCGGTTGGAAGAGTTAGGGGTGGGGGGCACCGTGTTGCGGTGGTTCTCCTCCTTTCTCTCTGATCGGTCACAGTCTGTGTTGACAGGGGGGCAGAGGTCGACCCCGAGGCCCCTTGTATGTGGGGTGCCACAGGGGTCGGTTCTCTCACCCCTTCTGTTCAACATTTATGTGAAGCCGCTGGGTGAGATCATCCGTGGTTTCGGGGTGAAGTATCATCACCCCGGACCACCCCGGACCACCCCAATGATGCCCTTAAAGTGATGTCCCAGTGCCTGGAGGCTGTACAGATCTGGATGGGGAGGAACAGGCTCAGGCTCAACCTATCCAAGACTGAGTGGCTGTGGTTTCCAACGTCCCGATATAGTCAATTGGTGCCATCACTGACTATTGGGGATGAGTCATTGCCCCCCACGGAGAGGGTTCGCAACTTAGGCGTCCTCTTGGACTCACGGCTGTCTTTAGAAGAACACTTGACGGCTGTGGCCGGGAGGTCTTTTTATCAGGTTCGCCTGATTCGCCAGTTGCGTCCCTTTCTGGATCGGGACTCGTTAAATACTGTCACTCATGCCCTCGTCACTTCACACCTGGACTACTGTAATGCTCTCTACATGGGGCTCCCCTTGAGGACTACCCGGAGGCTCCAGCTGGTCCAGAATGCGGCCGTGCAGGTAGTAATGGGAGCAGCATGGCGCTCCCATGTGGCTCCCCTCCTGCGCGAGCTGCACTGGCTCCCTGTGGTCTTCCGGGTGCGCTTCAAGGTCTTAGTTACCACCTTTAGAGCGCTCCATGGCTTAGGACCGGGGTACTTACGAGACCGCCTTCTGCCACCAATAGCCTCTCACCGCCCAGTGCGCTCCCATAGAGAGGGGCTTCTTAGGGTGCCATCAGCCAAACAATGTCGACTGGCGGCCCCCAGGGGGAGAGCCTTTTCTGTGAGGGCACCCACCATTTGGAACGAGCTCCCCCCAGAGATAAAGAAGATTCCGGATCTGCGCACTTTCCGCCGTGCCCTCAAAACATTCCTGTTTCAGCAGGCCGGCCTGGCCTAACTTTCCCTTTATATTGCTTTTTGATTTTATTTTAAACTGGGATGTCTTGAATTATCTAGGACCAGAGTGTTTAGTATATTTTAATTGGTTTTTTATTAACATTTGTATTAAATGTATTTTTATCGTTCGCTGTTCACCACCCTGAGTCCCTTAGGAATAGGGCGGTATATAAATTTAATAAATAAATAAATAAATAAATAAATAAATAAATAAATCTATATAAATGAATGTATACATATAAAAATGTATGTGTATTCAGTTTGGACATTCTTAGCTCAAACATTTCAAAATCCAAGAAACATCAAGTCTACCTTTTTGAATGCTTTCACCAGTTTCTTTTTGTCATAGTCATCAGCAATTCCCTGAACAGTCGTTAATGTTTTTCTGCCGTTCCGTTGCTGAATCCTTATATGGATGTAGTCTTCAGTCCCTGCTGGGAGTAAGTTGTCACCCTTAGTTGCATCAGCAAAGGGGTCTGAAAAGGGGAAATTCATGTAATGAAAATGAATCTTTCATTGAATATGTTTTCTAAATAAAGATATACAGTATGTCAGTACCCTAAAATTCTCTTTAACATTTTCTATCTAAATGGAGATCTAATTGTACCTCAACAAGGATTTTGATGGAGTTTGAATTATTTAGAAGTCGTCTGTATTTGTGGTACATTTTAGTAGTTGGTACTCCATGGTATGGTAAGATTTTTTGCAGAAGTTCTGCTCATTTCCCAGAGATGCTTCTTAAATACAAGAATAGTTCAGAAGTGAAAATTGCTTTGCAGTATTTATAATCTGTGTAATATTTGATATCAGAAGTAAGTTGGAGATTGGAAATTTCCTGGGATGTGGCAATTAATTGGCTGCTTGGAAGCTGTTTCTCTACTTTGATTTGATTGTACAACAAGGCTCAGTCCTAGGACTTGGTTTGTTCAATGTGTTTGTAAGAGATAAAACAGGATTGCTAGGTAAGAGTTGTCTTTTTGCTGATGACACAAATGTTTGTAATAAAAGTGATGCTCCTGCAGGTATTTGTAAGATAGAAAATGATTTGGTATTGCTGGGAAATTGATAAAAAATGTGGAAACTACAATTCAATGTTTCTCAATATAAGATCATGATTCACTTGGAGAAAAAGAATCCTCTGGCAGAGTATGGTATTGTGGATACAGTGTTGAACAGAATAACAGAAGAAAAGGATTTAGGTATGTTCAGAACAGTAAACAGGCAGCTGTAATGGCAAACAAAATTCTGGGGTACATCACTAGAAGGATCACTACCAGGAAAAAGAAGGTCCTAATCGTGCTACATAGGGCTTTAGTCATACCCCGTTTGGAAGAGTATTCGGTTCTGGAAACCTCATTTTAAAAAAAGTTATTGATAAGACTGAGTCCAGAGACAGGCAACAAAAATGATGCAAGGTCTGAGGGACAAACGTATCGATAGAGACTAGAGGAACTGAATATGCACAGCATGGTGGACAGAAAGGAAAGTGGGGGGGACATGATTGAAACAATTAACTACATTAACGATGCAAATAAGGTTCTAGAAGGCAGTATTTTCAATATTAAGCAAAAATCAAGATCACAGAGGCATCGCTTCAATTTGACAGAAGAGAAATTCAAAAGTAATGTTGGAAAGTATTACTTCACAAAAAGAATAGTGGAAGCTTGGAACCAATTTCCAGTGGAGGTAGTGAATCAATCATCAGTAACTAAGTTTAAACATGCTTGGGATAAACACATATCCACCATCCAACAAATATTTAAAAAGTAAAATAAATAAATGAAAACAAAACCCAAAAAACTCAAAGAGCAGACTTGATGGACCACTAGGTCTTTTTCTGCCATCCATCTTTTGTTTCTATTATATAGAATATAATAGAATTTCAATCCATAATATTTATTTTCTATTAAAAAATTATGATACTGTAATTCAAGAGAGAATGGATAAGAAGAGACTGCCACCCTAGAAGGAAATCAAACCAAGTTTTTCAAATTTTCTACAGGTAGAAAATAATTGACAAATTAAGTTGTAAAAATGACATAAGAAGACCTAGAAATTAAATCAGAAATGCTTACAATAGAAAAAAGAGTGATATGCAGCATGATAGAATTATAGACTGTAAAAATGCAAACAAGATCTGGCAACCAAGTTTGTAAGTCAAATAGATTTCAATAAGGCTAAACAAAGCCATTTTAAAAATGTAGACATCAGATTTTAGCCATGTATAGGGTACAATTATTGTTTCAACTAAGAGTATAATTTGTTGGGGCAAATACACACATTTAAGAAAAAGTAAGTGGCATTCATTGATTTATTTCAATCTATCATTAAAACTTAACATCAAAAGAATATTCAAAAAGATTACTTAAATTCTTAATTAACGTTTTAATTAACAGATAAGCAGAAGTATTTCAGTCACCTAGCATTTGCAATCGGGGAAGATCGGTAAAAGCTTGGCCGTCCTCCCCCTAAGGCAGGAAAGATGTGGGAGGAGAAGGCATTCTCATTATACTTCTCTATTTCTCAACTAACACATTTTGGAGACTAGCGATCTACGCTTAACATTAAATTTGCAGGGCTACAAAAGAAGCGTTGTTCCTTATTTTCAATCCCGTGCCCGAGTCAAGAATTGGATGATTAAATACTGGTTTATCGTGCTAAACCAGCGGTGACTAATGTGGGAAAGGAGGAGGAGGAAGAGACCAATCTAATAGCAGCCCACTGTGACAGCAGACAGGAAGCGGAGAAAGGGGCGGAAAACGTAAATAGGATTGGGGGAGGAAGAAACGAAGGGGAGAAAAGCCCAATTCTTCTGCGAAGAAATACCGCAGCCGGTGCCGATACGGCCTCTGTCACTGAACCAAGAGACAGAAGGAGCCCCGTTTCTTACCGAAGGATTGCAGGTTCTGGATAGTGGACATGCGCTTCTGTGGCTGGGCGCTGCTCGGGGGGAAAAGGCCGCGGCTGGGTTTGTCCGGGACTTTCTCAAAGTTCAGCAGTGGGGGGAAAGTAAAGAAAAATGCAAACAAACAGCGAAACCTGGAGGGCAGAGAAGACCCGGCTAGGGGTGGGGGGGATGGGGAATGCGGTGGCGTCTCCAACAGCAACAGCGACGGTAGCTCACAAAATGGCCGATGCTTCTTTCAGCTCTCGTTTTCCTTAGGTAGCGCACGTGATGGTAATAGGCTTCCCATAGAATCTTGGGAAATGGTGTCCTGGTAAAGAAACTCAAAGCCAACTTTGGACAAAGAACTACAACTTGCGAAAGCGCGACAGATTTTCGAAGCACAATCACCTATTACTCGGAAACTATATTATGCTTGCTTAATTTAGGTTTAGCATCAGTTTGAATATTGTTTGTAGTTTTGCATGTTGAATAAAAATGTGGTTTATTCAGTTGTGGCTAAAGCAAAATTAGTTTTTTTCATATCTAAAAATGCAACCAAAACCAGCACAAAATGAATGTCAAAGGGGTAATGTAGGTAAATGCGGATCCAGCTGGATGATCACTGAAGGGCCCTCTTTATTCATAGTATTGTAAGAAAGGAAATGTGCTTGTTTGAGGGAAGCCAATTATCTCCAGTTGAAAGGCAGAGAATTCCTTTGAAGTAGAAACATTCACAAGAGGGGCCCCTCAGTTGCCAGAGATAGAGATATTTGTTTGAAGGTTAAAACAGATCAAAGGATGACCACATGTAATATCAACAAGAGATAATTTGAATCTATGCTTCAGTAATTGGCAAAAAGAATTATGACTGTTGGCAAAGAAAAATGTAAAACTTAGTAATTGGGAAGTGTCAATTAAATATGACAAATGTATATGATCACATAAACTGCTGAGTTAACAGAATCCTTTGTCTTAGAAGGGTATAAAAACCATTGTAACTGATTTCTGTCTTTGTTCAATGCTTCATGTACAAGCTTTGAACCTATTGCGCAATATACAATGTCTCTGGCTAACCCTGAAAAGTTGTGTTGGTCTTATTAATCCACAACAGGGGAGTAGAGATGTTGGCAGAGTATACAAAGGTAGTCCTCGAGTTGTGAACATGATTAAAACCAGAATTTTGGTTGCTAAGCAAGGCGGTTGTTAAACAAGCCATGCCCAATTTTTCACTCTTTTTGCCATGATTGTTAAATGAACATTGAAACTCTAAGAAGAAACCCAAATAAAATATTAACCATAAGAAAAAGCTTTAGAAATATTAGTCATAAGGAAAAGCCTCAGAAAAGCCAAAAAAGACCAAGACTCTAATAAAAAACTGCCCACATTCCAGCCAGACACCTAAAGAAAAACGTAATAAGCTAAGTTCAGACAGATGCAGGCGCTTAAACTTATTGAACAAAGCCAACTATCTAGATAGTTCCATTCATAAGCAAGCAAATACTGATGGCCGAAGTCCATTCAAGATAGGATATTTCAAAACCCCTTGCATCAGTTTTGACAGCTAGCAAAAGCAGAGTGATAGGATTAAAACAAGTAGCCCCTCACCCAAAAAAATCTAACACAGGACATAGCCATCAGCCACAATAAGAATTACCCAACACCAGATTCCAGCGGCTCCGTAGGACGTTGAGGACGCTCCCTGGGTGAGCGCTAGCCCCGTGACTTTGTTAGCCGCTAGAACAGCAAAAAATCAGCTGTCTAGCGGCGAAGAACCTTCCCCCCCGGGAGAAGAGGGGGAAGTGAGCAGCCAGGTGCAGGGTAGAGCTCCATAAGAGCCCTAGAATTAATTCTGGGGCTCGAAAAGTGCGAGCTCCCCAAGAACCTGGGAAAAGCTCCAAAGCCGGGACGCCTCTGCCAGAAGGCAGAGCAAAACGCCACGTCCGCTCCTGCTTTTAATTGATACAAAGAGAAAATTGAAGCAGGCAGAACAAAAACAGGAGACTACATAATTGCAAGTACTTACACTTTAATTCCTTTGAACATCGTTTCTTTTCGAGCCTATATGAGCGGAGCTGGAGTGGAAAGGGAGGGGAAGATGGCGCTGGCTCGTTAAGACAAAGAGACGAAAGTGAAACTTAAGAAGAAAGTTGTTACAGGCTTGTTAACTCATTAATGCCTACCAGTTAACAACTCCGCTTAAAAATTTTTTGGATTTAATCCTATATCCTGGACTTTGGGAATTAAAATTTAAAGATCTTAAAGATTTTCTGATTTTTTCTCGCTGGCTATAAGAACTGTTCCTGAGACTGTGTAATTTTAAAATGGCTTCAAAGCAGACAAAATTGGTGTTGCCTAAAGCAGCGAGTGCGGGAAGTTCCCCAGCTCAAACTAGTAGGTTGCAAACCTTCTTGCCTCCGGCAGATACACAAGCTCAATTACAACCACAGCTACAACCACAAGCACAAATGTTAACACTTGAGATGTTTCAGGCAGCCATGAAAGAAATCAAAGAAGGTTTTAAAGAGGACATTGCATTTGCATTTAAAGGAGTCTCAGATCAAATGGAAGAAATGAAGGACATAATTAAGACAAGAAATCAACATATAAGGGAAGATATAGTCTTTGCACTCCAGGGACTGGCAAAACATGTTAGTTATGTAGAAGATAGAATTGATGAGGTTGCTCAAGCTAATGAGATTTTAGATGGTAAAGTTGAGGAATCACAAATTAAGATTGACAAAACAGAAGCTGAAATGTTGTTGACACAATATAAGATGATGGAATTTGCCGTGAGAATAAGAGGCTTGAAAGAAAATCCGAAGGAAAATCTGAAAGAGATCTTTGAAGATGCTCTGGCACAATTTATAGGAGTGTCCAGAGGTGAACTCGAATGGCAAATGGATCGGATCTATCGTGTTAATTCATGGGTAGCTAGACAAAGGAAATTACCAAGAGATGTTGTGATTTATTTTGTTACTAGAAGGATTAGAAATGAGATTTTACAAGCTGCCTACAAAAATAAGTTGCAAGTGGCAGGACAAGAAGTTGCAGTATTTAAAGAAATACCACCCAAAATGCTGAAATCCAAGAAAGAGTATGCTTTTCTGGCAGATGAGCTGAGGAACCGACAGGTACAATACAGATGGGAAGTCCCAGTCGGATTATCAGTGGATTATGCAGGAGAGCGATATCGCCTTAATACAATTTACAAAGCAAGAGATTTTTATAGTAATATATTAAAGGCTGGACAACCACCAGTGCCAGGAGGCAAAAAAGCAAGAGAGGCGACAGAGGGAAGAAAAGAGGATCTGCAGAAGCAATCGGAAGGCGGAGCTATGAGTATCCAGGAGGAAGTACTGCAACTTTCAAGTGCTGTCCAAGCATGGGATATAGTTGAAAAACAAGAAGAAGGCAAAGATCAAAGACAAACCAGAGCAGCTACTAAACGTAAAGTTGAAGAGTTAAAAAAGTTACAAGAGCAGGCTTTATCACAAGAAGTGAATACTGGTGTAGAAGCTGTGGGAGGGGCGAGACCTAAAAGAAAATTCCAAGAGGATTATCAAGCGGTTCTCGCCAAGCTTCGAGATTCTGAGGATGGCTTCTAGGTTTTTAACCTGGAATGTTAACGGTTTAAACTCACCACAAAAAAGGAAGAAAATATTTCACCATTTGAGACAATTTAAAAATGAAATAATATGCCTGCAGGAAACACATATAAGGACAACTGACCAAAAATATTTAATAAATACAAAATTGGGAACACATTTTGCTGCATCAGCCCCGGAAAAAAAGAATGGAATAGTGATTTACTTGAAAAGAGATTTGATGGCTAAATTAGTTGAGGCAGATCAACAAGGAAGATTTCTGGCAATTGATATAATGATAGAAGGAAAGAAAACACTCTTATTGGGGATATATGCTCCCAATCAACAGCAAGAGAAATTTTATAAGTTGATACATACAAAATTATTACATTGGGATTATAATTCATGTATACTGATGGGAGATTGGAACGGAGTGTTAGACCCTAGTATTGATAAGAAAAGAATAGTACAATCTACTAAATTGCGATCTAGACTGCCTTAGACTTTTTTTGATATGATGGAGGATATGGAATTAAGAGACATCTGGCGTGAAAGGAATTATAGAGAACAAGATTTTACATTTTTTTCAGATAGACATCAATCCTTTTCAAGAATTGATTTTATATTAATTACAAATGATTTTTTTTCCAGGGTAAAGAAGATAAAGATTTGTCCCAGAATTTTAACTGATCACAGCCCAGTTTGGATGGAACTGGAGTGTGGGGAAAGAGTTAGGAGATCTTGGCGGTTAAATGAAAACCTTTTCAGATATGAGAAAAATGTAATAGAATGTAAAAAACTAATGAAGGAATTTTTTGTTTTTAATATGAACAAGGGAACATCTATGGATATGGTATGGGATGCTAGTAAAGCATATATGAGAGGAGTTCTGATAAATATGAATAATGCTTATAGGCGTAAACAAGTGGAGAAAAGGAGGGAATTAGAAGAAGAGATTAAGAAAAAAGAAAGGGTGTTAATTGATAACCCAGGGGATAAGAAAATTAAAGAAGAGATCAGTTTATTACGTGGGCAATTTAATATGATGCTTTCAGACCAAGTGGCAACCAATCTACAATATGCTAAACATAATACTTTTTGTAATGCAAATAAACCAGGTAGATGGTTGGCATACATGCTGAGGAAAAAACAAAAATCTCGTACCATAGAGAAAATAGAGTATAAAGGTAGAGAGCTGTATCACCAAAATATGATTAAAAAGGCATTTTTAG